AATTAAAAAAAAAAAAACATCAAAAAACAAAAAAAAAAAAGTTTTAAAATAAAAAAAAAAAAAAAAAAAAAAAAAAAAAGTGTATATACTTGATATTTTAATAGGTAGTTTAAGCATTATCATTATCATTATGATTCAGAATTAGAAAATAAAATTCATCAATATCAATTTCTTTTTCTTTTTTATCATGTACTTGCTGAATCTAGCTTTTAAGACATATAGCTGAACGTTCAGTATCTGGCTTTAAATTATATCGAATCTTAGTTATTGTATTTGTAGCCATAGAAAATATCTGTTCTGAAGGTACACTTGAACCCTGTATACTTAAATAACATGATGCCATACTTGCAAGAATTAGAAAATCTCTACTAAAATGGCACCACCAATATAATGGATTTGTAGTAGAATCAACTAGTAATGCAAGATATCAGGCAATTTCATCTTCAACAGGTATTTGTTCAGAATTTTGTTCTGAAATTAAAGATTCAAAAAATAATCATTTGTTTTCTTTAGTTTATAAATTATGAATAGATTCTGTTAACCATCTATTAGTATCATTTTTAAATAATTCTACTTTGTTATGCAAAAGTGTTATAGCCTTATCACGTTGATTAATATCTATAAAAGTTTTAGTCTTTGATCGTGGATCTAGCAAAGTACCAATTGTTGTTAATTCATCAATATGTTCCCAATATTCTTGAAGTTTAAACCTAATAGAATCTGCTATCATACATTCATCCAAATTAGTATAAGTTTGAATAAATGATTTTAAATATTGTAACAAACTGATTATAGTTAGCTGTATATCACTTATAGTTAGATATATTGAGGTTGATAATATTTCAGTTGCTATAAAAATTGGTTCAAGTAATTGAATTATATTAATAACTACTAGCTATTCATCATCTTGTAAATATAAAGGAGAAAGATTTTTATTTTTAGCAACAAAAATATCTAACATATCTTTCATCTTTAAAAATTTTGCTAACATAAGATAAGTGCTATTCCACCAGGTTTCTATATCTAAATTAGGTTTTAATTTATCTATATTTTCTTGTTTTAAATAGTTTTTAAAGAATCACTAAGTTTTGTTGAATTACAAATTTTTATTACAAAATCTCTAACTTTTTTTATAACTGGTGATACTAATTGTAATCCATGTTGTATAGCAAGATTAAGTATGTATGCAGCACATCGTTGATGAACTAATTCAGAATTGTTTAACCTATTTTTAAGTTCTCATCTTGCAGCTATCATGTTTTGTACTTTATCAGTTGTAATACCTAATAATTTTTCAGTAATGTTAGCCTCATTTAATACTTGTTCAATTGTTTGTTGAATATTTATAGCTGTATGCTTTTTAGTAAGTAGACAAAGATCAAGTAAAAAATGTCTTAATTGCCATTCACTATTAATAAAATGTACTGTAATACTAAGATATGATTGCATTATAATTGAACTCCAAATATCACAAGTAATTGATACTTTTTTAGGCTTTTTAAGTTTTTTTAGAACAGTTTTATACATACTTTTATATTTATTTAATATTCCAGTTTGTATAGTTTGTTGACAAGGTATTTGATATCGATTATCAAATAAATTTAACATAGCAACAAAATAAGGATTATCAATAACAGAAAAAGGAAGCTAACAACAAATTATAAAATCTATAATTATGTCTATAAGTTGCAAATATCATTGATCTGTTTTTAAATATAGTCTATCTATAAATTTATCAATTGTACTTTGTCGATTACCAACTAAGTTACTATGTTTATTATATAAATGTTTAGCAAGAGTTCCTGGTGTATTAGTTGATTTATATTTAAGTCAGCATATAGTGCAAATAAAAGATTGAAGTTTATTTTGGTTATTATATTTTTTTAAAAAATGCTTCCAAACTCAAGAAGAATCTCGCGAAGTAAGTAAATCTGAGTTGTGTTCATTTTCTTCAGAATATTTGTTAATTCATTAGTTT